ACTTTTTTTTTTTTTTTAATGATTGAGCCATGGAAATCTCATCTTAGTTCAGTGTTGTCTGATATTTGTAGATAGTGATTTAGACACTAATATGACCTCTTTCCTAACAAAATGAGCAGATGACAGCTGGAATGGTAAGTACTAAAAGGCCCGGCTATGGTTTACAAATTGCCTGGTGAAATGGTCAGAATCCATCCGAGCATATTTTAATTACCCGTTCCGTCCTTACGGATCCACGGGAGACTGAGTTGCGGGGAGTGAATTTTCGCATTTGTAAAAGGAACGAACTGCGTTTGAATTCCAGTGCAAACCTTTTGTGAAAAGCAGTAGCTAAGAGTCCAACACAGTACAGACAGGCCTTCACTACATCTCTACAGGTTGCTCAGCAAGTGATCCTCAAAGTTGCAATCATTGTTTCCATTCCAGCTTGTCTCTCCTAAAATCTGGTAAGACAGTTACGTTTCTGCCACACTTTGATGCAGTGAATACAAATGTGGCACTTCTTTTTTTTTTTTCCCTAGATAGGCTTAAAAAAGTCAAATCCCAAGCAATCAGCAATCTCTTTTTCTCACTGTCCCAAAGATAACCTTCAAAAAAGTATAAAATCTCTTTACAATTCCAGTGAGAAACATACTTTTTCACTTAAAAAGGAGGAAGACAGCTACCTTTTGGAAATGTTCGCTGGACATAGATCTCCATTTATCCTTCACATGCAAAAACAGACTGAGCAGATTACACATCTTTCATTTATAAGATTAAAAGAAAAGACAGAAAAGAGAATTTTAAGATATTCCTCCAGTGTGGTATCATTTCTCCTCTTCATTCACATCCCTCCAATTTGAAACAACGTAACTAGTGGTTTCAATAGGAACTATAATTGCAGCATCCTCACAGTCTCATGCAGGCAGAGAGCTGCAGTTTGGTTTTATTTTTCTTACACCTACAGAGGATTCTGTTTTGTTTTGACCTCTCATTACTTTCCTTCACTTTCTTGGCTCAAAACATCCAATTCTCTCTCAGCCATTCAACGTTTATTCTTTTAGGCTGCTTTTTTCTCCTAGTATTACACATACATATTGAACAGCTGGAACCAAGAAAAGGCATAATTAATGATTCTGAAATTTTCCAAAGAAAATGTTTTTGCTTTTCCCAATTTGAAATTACTTTTTTGGTTTCAAAAAAGAAAAAAAAAAGCTTCCAATAAAACCTTTCATACACCTTCAAAACCTAAATGGAACATTTTAGGTTAAACAAAGCTCTCATTTTTGAGAGAGGAGGTTGTTTTATTTTCATTTCTTAAATCACATAAAAATTCTAAAACAAACAAACAAACAAAAAATTCCATTGCATCTTGGTGTGAAACCACTTTCCTTTAGTATCACATGGGTACAAAAATAGCAGAAGACCTCTAGCCCTCAATACCTACCGAGTAACCAGCCCCAGCAAAAGCTATACTTGAGGATTTAGCCTACAGCCACAGATAAGCGAGAATGAAAGAACACTGCAGGAAAAGGAAGGGGCTACAGGGCAACACCTGACATGCGCGGACAAACAAACGATCAGTTTGGGGCAGATCAGGGTATATGGGGCAAGGCTAAGAGCTGGGATTGCCAAGTACAAACTTGACCACTTGGGGAAAAATCAGACATGAGGCAACAGCAGCAGCGGGACGGAGCCTTGCCGAACGTGGATTATAGCCGCTGGGTGAGGATCTGAGCACGCTTTAGCAGCCAGTTCCACAACTGCGTTCTCCGTGACCTGCAGCCTAACCCTGGAAAATGACCAACCCCAAATCCAAACCAGTATCTGTTTTGCAGAGAGTCAGAAAAATACCCCATCTAACGCTCTTTTGAAGAGAACAAGGTAGAGTACAAAACAGAGCATACCATGTTTTACAATAAGAAATGCCTATGGTTCCTTTAGCGCTGCTGTGGAGGGGATTACGGACACAAGGGTGCTGGGGCCAGCCCCCTCTCTGGACAGTGACGCAGAGGACTCGCACTGCTGACAGCAATGGTGTCGACGCTGGCATTGGAGAAAGCCCTGAGAGAAATTCTACTTCTGTTGGATACTAGTTTTAGCAACTAAGCTGCTAATTTAGCAGTCTGCCTGTCCAGCCTCATGGTCACGTGGAGCTAAAGGGGTTTCTCTAGCTGCCCATGGTTCTTGCTGAACATAGTCTGTCAGGCTCAGCACAGCCCAGGACATGTGCCCAGAGCACCAGCCACTCACTGACATGTTAACAGGAGCATCACGGGCTAGCAGCTTCCACTGAGTGTTTGCAGGGTCCCAACTTCACTGAAAAAATGGTCTTTCTCTAAAGTACAGTAAATAATTGAAGCAATGAATGCATATACAAAACCCGCTACTTATCAACAGAAGTACCTCAGGCCCAAATGGACACAGGCTTACGTATGTGTGCACGTATATACACACACACGCACACTCAAATTTTACAGACGGACATAGAAATAAGACCAGGTGTTTCTGTACATGACCAATATTCCCTAAACCATCTTTTGAGTCTTCAGCATGCCCTTGTACTAGTCACCTAACAGAAATATGCTCAGTGCTAATCATGAGATGCATGCAACTTTTTTTTTCCTTAAATGCCATTTGTTAAATCCTCATGATTATTTAACATACACATTTTTGCACTTCTATATCAAAGATCAAAACTACAATGAAAGCAAGAACTATAAACTCACAGATAGATATATTCGCTCTAAATTCAGAAACGTGTTTCAAGCTGAGAGTGCAATCTCCTTATTTTCCGTACATGCTCTGGCAACTCTGACCAACTGCATCCCGCAGCAAGTAGTAGAATCAGATAATCTGCATCAGTCTGGATTTAACTCAAAAATATCAGCATATCTTTTTATCACCTTTGCAAAAACAATCCATTTCTAACCAAGCACATCTCACTATAATAAGCTTTCCAATTTTCCACAGAAAAATGTTTTTCAAGGAAGGAAGGAAGAAATACATTACAGTTAGAAATCTATTATTTCAGCCTTGCTTACCAAACTCCCTTCTGTGTAGGCAAGGGGGTTTCACAGGGAGTAAAGGGACCTTTCTGCTCCTACACACGAGCAAGACATCCCTTATTCTGATTAGGTCATTATAGGTGAACTGCACAAACTATACAACAAAATATGGCTTTACCTTAAGTTTCTTCTTTATGAGATACAGAAATGACTTAAAGTCTGATTTTGTTTTTGGAAGAATGTCTAGTTTTAACCAAATATCTAGTTTTTCATATATTAAAAAAGGGAACTGAGATTAGCTACATGAAACCTTGACTTCCTGTTCACACTGGAGAACTGCAGTGAGATAATAACACGAATTTCTCAACTTCTGAAATAGAGATGATATTAACTCTTTCACATGGACAGTTCTCCCTTTCAGCTGTTCGATGGGTCTTCGAGTTCAACAGGTTTAACAAAAACAAAGAAAAGAAGCTATAAAACATTAGACAGTCTGACCAAACATGCCCTGCCTCTCACCTAAAACTTGATACATCTATAGCTAGATTACAGTCCAAGTTTTACGCCATTATCACAGTATTGCTCTAGTTAAGTCTTCATAAAAAGAAGAGGAGTTAGACCTGCTATTTCTAATGCAACAGGCAAGCAAAATTAGAATAGAAATACAAATCTCTGAGTTGTCACCATGTATCCTAAACCAAAAACAGGAGGCAGATGAACATTTCTTTTTGCTCTGCAATTCATTTTAAATAACATGGTAAACACCTGGTAAAGCTCCTGCTCCTCCTATTGGTAGATCCCCAAACTCCATGAGCTGAAAAAATGTCAGATTACTCTGTATTTGTACATGCATTACAGTGTGAGTCACAGTTAAACCCCACTCAGGAGGAAGGTGGTGTGGAAACAGCCAATTTGGTAAAAGGCTGTTGCAGTAAAACTATCAACCAAGAATTCTGTTAGTGTACTATAATATCAATTCCTAACATGTTTTGGTGGCACATAACTTCTCTGAAGGTATGAACTTTTTTGTGAACCCGTTATTGCCATTAATTCTTTTTAAAAATCTCAAAACAACATTCAGAAAATTCATTCTCGAGCCTTTACAGGGGCTGCTCAACTAAAAGGAATACCCAGCTGACCAAAAAGGCGATCAGGCTGCTTGGTATTACTATAACCGTTATTCAAATCAGTTATTAATTCATTCCAAAGTATTCCCCAAATCTGGCAGCAGCCACTCTAGAAGCGAGCCTGGATACAAGTCAGACAGTGACATCAGGTCACTTAAGCCAACAAGGCTTTAGCCTCTCGCTGAAATTAAATCAGAAGAGTCCACAGATTCACCACATGAAAATACTTGGAAGTTGCTGAAGACTGCTTGAAAGCCCTGGAATAAATCATCTCATTTCAAGCCTGGTTCGAGCACTACTAAAAGCATTCAATTGGTTACTTCTTCCAGTGGAAACCAAAGACACTCAAGCACCCAAAACACCCTTCCTTTGATCCCTGAGCCAAAAACCTAAATACTCTGTTAAAAGTTGGCTGGATCCCCACCCCAAGAAGAAGGGGACAACCACTCAGCCTTCTGGTTACAATGCTAGCTGCACTGTGGAAGATAAGCCATGCAACGGTTTGGGATCCAAGAGCATCAAGCACATTACAAAAAAGGAAACAAACTCTCAGAGGGGAAGTGACTTCAAACCCCAAACTTCCCACAGTAGCCCTAAGCACTCATCAGTAGAAACACAGGAAAAGAGAGCTAGTTGAGGAAAACAGTCATTTAACAACATTTCTAAAACATAACGCTACATTGGTTCAGCCATTTCAAAGAATGTTGGAGCTCCAATATCACACAAGAAGTCCAAGAAGCATCTGCAATGACATTCCATACTTCCCAGAAAGTGAAGTAGGAGACCATACAAAGAGTTGCTAAACCTTGGCGTTAGCCCCTTTTTGGTTGTATACAGTTGTTATGCAAACACTTTTGTTCAACAGGTATTGTTTACTCACGCTTACCTGACCAAGGGAAGGAAGCGTTGCATATGCCATGGGCTGATTCATCATTCCTTTCTGCTTCATGATGAGCATGCGTTTCTGTTCCTCACTCAGGTGCGCCATCTGAGCTTGCATCTGCGGCGGCTGGGACTGCTGCTGCTGCATGTATGGCATCATGGGGTTCTTGCTGGGATTGGCCATTGGCGGCGTCATCCTCTGACTCAGCTCGGCATTGAAGTGGGTCAGAGGTTTAGTGTTGCCATAAGAAAGCATATTGGGCTGTTTGCTTAAGGAGTTTGTGCCCAAGTTATTTGGCTGCTGATTGAGCATATTCATGTGATTTTGAGGGAGGTAGTTATTGATTGTGGTCTTCTGCGGGTTATTTGCCATAGGAGGCACTATTGGGTTTTGGTTGTTAAAGGCTTGGGGATACATCATTGGACTATTTGGTTTGTCTGCACTGAAGGGTCCTCCATATGGACTAGATGGAGGGCCCACAGGTGACCAGCTTGAGGCTTGATTTGGATGCTGCTGCTGCTGCTGCTTCTGCTGCATGAGCTTAGCTCTTTGCTGCTGCTGTGCTGCCATTTGCTTGAGCTGTTCAGCTGGAGACAAGTCAGCACTAGGCATAGTCACAGGCCCAGGCCCTGATCCTGCCACAGTCACTGCTGCTGGATTCATAAGATAGCCATTTCCAGATCGCGACTGAGTTGGGCCTGGAGTATGGGCCTGGTTGGGAGTTTGAGGTGACTGAGCAACACAGTTTGCTGGTGAGCCGGCAGGAATGGGAGCTGCTGGAGCACTGGATACAGAAGTTACACTAGAGGCTGTAGAGACGTTTGAAAACGGAGGACCAGAAGAAGAAGGCCTCACCTGGGGGGATCCTAATGGAACATGAGCAAATGGAGAATGAGATGGATCACTTTTAACGCTCGCACTCTCTTGAGTCTCTGTGGCAGGCCTGGGAAATTCCGGCTCCTTCTTCTCTTCAAAGTCTTCATTGAACAAATCTTGTATATCATCTTCTGGAACAGTGTTTGCTAGTTCATCTATTAGCTCCTGCCACTCTTGATCATTCAGATTAATGTCTGAGAAGAGCTTGTTCTGATTTGAAAGAGATGTTTCAGAAGTGTCTATGCAGGTAGGGTCATCCAAAGGCTCTTGCTTTAGCTCCTTGCTCTGCAGGATGTTAAAACTATCATCTAGCTCGTTGCAACCATTAACCGGGAGCTTTATCTCTGACAGCCCACCGTTTTTACCCAAGTCTTCTAGCCCACTACTGTGAGTTCCGCTGTTCTGCAGGGGTAGGGCAGCTTTCATGTCAAGTTGGTGAAGAGGAGAAACGGCAGGCAAAGGCAAATTATTGGGCAAGCTGTTGATTGCCTCGATGCCTGGTACATCCTTCCGTATCCGCTTGCTGGTTGGAGAAAAGCTGCCATCACAAACACCATTCTGCTGTTCTCCATTGAGAGGTGAACGTGCGCCTTCCAACTTCCTTTTCACTGTCTCTTGAAGCTGAAAGCAAAACAAGAGGGGAAAAAAAAAATTAACCAGCTGCACAGACAAAAAAAACTGCTGATGAACTTTGTGACAGGTATTTCCCACAAGCCTACTAGTGACAGTAGGTTTTTAAAAACTCTCATTTGGCAGTTTCCTTGATTTCATTCTTATGCTTTTAATCAGTTTGAGAAGACTATTTAAAACAAACAAAAGCAACTGCCCCTGAGTAGGAGAGTGCAGGCCCACTGGTGCAGAGCTGTAAAATATGTCTGTGCTCTCCAAGCTATCCAGATTTTCTGGATCAAATTGAATATTTCAACTTTGTGGTGCCTAACACGGAGATGAGAGTTTTGTTTTCACAAAATGTTAAGCAATGTCTTCTGAAAGTTTGACTCCTTTAAGGAGTCTTGAATTGCACATTCAAAAAAAAATCTTTTTTTTGAATTTTCTAGAAGTTTCTTGAAAAATACCAGCAATACAACTTATTGACTACTTGAATTGAAACATATGTGTTGCTGACACTAACTTTTTTGAGAAAATTCATTAACTTAGTTTCATTTGATTATCCCTCTGTTCTTTGGCTGCAAAACATATTGAGAATCAGTTTTAACGGAGGAAAAAAATATATCCACCCTAAAAAATAGAAGGCATTTTACATGAGGTTAACTCAATCAAATCACAAAAAAAGGAAATAACCTTGTGCTAGGATCTACCATTACAGATAAAGAGAAATGAAGACAAGGCAAAGAAAGCAACCAAATTAGCTATAACAACTTTATAAAAATAACACATTAACATGAACTTTAATTCAGGTTAAAATATGCACAGCAAAGCAATAAAACAACCTACAACCTCTCCTACCACACCAAATGCTAAGACCTCTGCTTATGTACCAGGCTAAAAAAAGCAGCCGTCTTTGGCTAAGTCAAAAAACAATAGTGGGGAGGGGAGGAAGTGAAGAGGTCATAACTCTAGTGAACTCGTTCAGGACACGCTTGCATCCTTGATATTAGAACAATAGAAGACAGAATAGTGAAAGATTTTATCAATTTTTAAAGTATTTTTACTGGTATGAAAATCCCAGACACTAAGCTCCCACCCCTTTCCTAACCTAGAGGTCTTCAACCTTCTTTCTTCCCACAATCCAGATCCCATTTGTTTCTCCCATCCCAGAGGACTAGCTCCCATTTCATCCCAGCTGTAAAGCAGGCAAGCAACTAACTCCATATCTCGTCCCCGTTTTAGTAGAAGCAGGTCTGAGAAGGCTGCGCCCTTCCTTCACCCTTCAATCTTGTGTATACTCTTCAGTATTTGCTGGGAGGAAAATTAACGAGGGCATGGCCTATGTATGCATCGCTACAGCCCCAGTTGAACACGCGTGGGATACTAGCAGGGCATAAGCTATGTGCTGGTCTGCAGAGATGTGACCTTTATTAAAAAAACAGAAAGACAAGTCTATGACTCCCTAAGCAGAACATCAACTTCTTGATTTGAACTGGAGCAGGAGAACCTTTTCACGTGGGAATGTGCTTAACGTATTGCTAGGAATCATCAGTGAGGCCCTGTTGGCTTATGCGCTTGAGATTTTGCTGCCTGTTGCCCGCTGCACAAAACCTGCACGTGCCAAGCATCCCACTGACTGAATTCCTTCTCCTCCGGGCTTCTGCCATGCTATACATGCCAGCAGCACGCTGCTGCTCAGCCGAGGCTTTTCCTTCCCTGTGAGACACCTGTGCAACTCCACAGAAGAGCAGCTGGCAACTGTGCTGAGGTGCCCTTACCCTGCTTCTTTTCCCAACCCTGGCTTGTAGAAGCAGGGAACACCAAGGCCAGCAGTTTGCACCAAGAAGTTCCTCTCGGAGTGCCACATGCTGTGACGGAAAACGCAGTTGCAGCGAGGCGGGGGTCAGCAAGGCTGCGAGACACAGCCTGGGGCATGTTTGGGGACTCCCCCCACACAAGCCCATCGCTGGGCTCCCATGCCTCTCCCCCCACCCAATGGCAGCTCTTGCTCCCTTTGAACTCCAGCAAATGCCTTGGGATGGCAACCTGCACATGGTGGCAGATTCCCCTGGGAAGGTGGGAGCACATATGGTCCCAGCCCTTTCTTGATTAAAGCACTGCATATTCATGTTAATCAGCAAGGGTTGGTACAACCACACGGGGCTGTAGAGCTTGGAGTCTCACAGCACAGGCATCTCCTTTCCATCCCTCCATGCCACAGGAGCAGCAAGCTCTGGCAAGAGGCGCTTACCTGAGGTGGTAATTGCCTCATCTCTGCCAGTTAGCACTGATGTGGAAGTTAAGCCAACACCCCAGACTGGTGTGATGGAGAAAAATCTGATCCCGTAAGGAGGCTCATAATATGGCTCTCCCCACCTCTGCTTCCCTCCCCTAAAAACCTGCATTAAGCTGAACAGCCCCGTATGGCACTACAGTTCCCTGCTGCTGTGTAACCAGTGTCACTGGCATGCAGCAGGACACCACTGCTGAGCCACGGAGCTCGTCTGGCTGATCTTTATGCAACCCTCGCTTGGACCTCGGGGCAAGCAGAGCACAACGTGGATGTGGCAATGCTGCCGCTTCCCAGGTACGACCGCACAGTCACTTCCGAGTTTCCCTCCTTCACAATAAGGAAGGAAAGAGCACAATCTGGCTTCGAGAGCAAGGGTTCAGCAACACAGTTGATATAACAGCTTAAAATAATGTATTTCAATATTGTCCCCAGTGGGCCACTCACACAATTTACAGCACTCCATTTTCTCATTTTGGCTCCTAAGCAGTCGTACTAAAAGGGACCATCTCTCTTTGCTTTCCACATCAGAAGAATAGATAACAAACAGCAAGTGACGCAAGACTGCTGTGTTCGATGAACACACACAAACAGGGTTCAAAGAAGTACCCAAAACTTGCTACGGGCCTTTACCCGGAGTCAGTACTGGCTAAATATTGGGCTAAAGTAAGAACAGTCATACCAAAGGACCCACTGACAGAAGTGCTTCTAGTCATGACGGAAAGCTCGTATGAGAAAGAGAAAGGACAAACCTTAATTTGTCCTAATAGCAAGTCAGGGATTAATAAAAGTGATCATCTCTTGCGAAGCAGAAGAGATTTGACTCCATACATTTAACAACAGGCTGAAGGTATCCCTTATAGGATGTTGGCAAGAGTGATGTATTTTCAAGTCGTACATTATTTACTAATTTATCCTGAATCCACCACCTTATTCATACAGGAATATTTACCAAAAAAAGTTAAAACAATCCAGTGTCAAATAACCAGCTCTACAAATATCAACTCCTAAAGATTTCCTCATGTTCTGAAATGTGGATGTCCCCCTGTACAAATATACAGTGACTTCAGTGGAAGTAAAAGCAGGCCCAGTACATAAATATTAACAACTGTGTTTACTTTGTGTAACAATAAAAAGCAGCTTTTTAAAAAGGAAACTATTTTCCATCAAATATCAAATGTGCAGAAATCTTGCATTATTGCAAATGAAAACAAAATGAAGCCTATTCTAAGTTTGTAGCTCCACATTATTTTCCTACAGAGGTTTTAGGATTTGAGGGGTTACCAGGCACTAGGATATCTAATTTTTTTTTTCTTTTCCCTTTGGTTGCTCTTCGAACAACTCTAAGGTAGACAGAAACACAACATGAAAGGTTTATTTGAAGGGAACATGCTGGATACAAACCTTGGAGGTGGGGAAGCATCTCAGCTCAAGCACTTCAGAAGCTTTGGGGGCCGGCCATAACAATAGATGCCTCTCTTCTTTTTTAGATGTAACACAGAAATAGTCTTATCAAATTATTTCAGTGCTAATGTTCAATTTTCATATCCTGATTTTATTCCTGATCACCAGCTCATCTAGCAGATGGCTCAGATATCAGGGATCAGATGGCTATCAGACACTGACCATATTCTTGGCGAACACTTTACTGCATCTGGATTCCAAAGTAATTTGGACTAGAATCCCCCCGGAATCCTTCCCCCTGGAAAACAATACCGGAAGTAAGCTATTCTCTTGTAAAGTGTCTTCCACCCCCTTGAAAGAAGTAATATATAGCTTGCTCATGTGATTTACAGCATGCATCAAGCATATACTACATTAGCAGCAGCTTAGAGATTTGTATCTAGGAGCATAAGACTCTTGATGCATAAAATAAAACAAAACAAAACAAAACAAAAATTAAATTCAACCCTTGCCAGGCTGGTAGGACTTCAGCCATATCCACACACAATATTTGGCTGATGGAACTCCATTTCACGGCAGGTTTCTACCACAGAGCAGAAGACAGAGTGAAGCAGGACTTGCTATTATTTATATGCCTTTAGAGAAACTCTTGTCTGCAGAGCAGAAAAAGGTCAAACTTTAGTAGGTTGACTTTTTAAATGACTCTTGATGGGAGGGGGGGAAAGGGGCTGTGCACGCAAACACACAGACACATATGGACCCGAATGATCTAATCTAACCTATCCTGAAATTTTTAGCAGAGCTGCTTGGACATGCCACAACATACCCAATACATAAACAACAGAGCATCGAGGCTGTCGGCAGAGCTTTCATCTGCTGGGAGAAGCTGCTTTGCTTCATCCCACCAGCAGCAATTCATTTTTCAAAAGAAATTAGACCAAGGTGCTGTTGTTATAGCAACAGTCAGAGCCACTTACACAGCCCCATCCCCCACTTTCAGCCTGACTTCAGTGGGCAGCTATTTCAATTATGTATAGGGAGTGACCAGGACTGCTGCTGTTTAGTCCTTTTATTGCTCTTTCCCAAGGAAAAAAAAAAAAGAAAAAGGCCCAGAGACCAAATTCTCTTTCTGCTGGTAGAAGTTGAGCACAATTCACAGCGTTGAACACAGTTCCACTTGTACTGGGCGGTCAGATGAACTGTAAGCCCAGACAAGGAGGCTCTGGTTGGTTTTATAGATGCTTTTGTCTACTGGCTACATAATGGACATGTTGCCACTAACTTTTCCTCTTGCTAGCACAGCTCCAGCCCTTTCACT